CGAGTGGGCGTCCGCGAGGGCCTCCGAGGGAGGCCTCCGAGGGAGGCCCCGGGATGGGTCTGCGAGGGCCCCCCGAAGAGAGCCTCGAGGGGTCGACGAGACGCCAAATCAGAGCTCGCCATCGCTGGGACGCCCATTCCCCGTGCAGTTTCTCGGCCTCGTGCGCGTAGTTGTTCGCAAGATGGCACCAAAGACTCCTCGATGGTCCTCGACGAGAAAAAACGAGTGGCCTGGCACGAAGGACATCAGGGCACCCAGACTGGCGGAGAGACACTAGAAGCTCATCGCTGTTCCCGGGCAGGCTTTGCTGCCTGGCCAAGGGGGGGAGGGGGAGGGGAGAAGCAGACAGACGCTGAGTAGGGGATCGACTACAGAATTGGATTACCCCAAACTTCATTTTCTCGTCGAATCTACCCGAAAAATGCCATGTTCGTAGATCTTCGAGCATTCTACGCATTCTTCGCACACTCGACGAGAAGATCAATTTTGGGGGAAACCAATTCTGCAGTCGATCTCCTACTCGAAGACGACAAATTAGGACGCCCGAAATGGGTACGGAAAAAATGGGTACAATGCCTAACAACATATGTTGTTCCAAGCCAACAGCAGCCGCTGTTGGGCAGGCGGCCTTCTGTCTCGAATTGACACAGGCCGCGGCGGCGTGGACAGCGCGTCCTGTTCAGAATGAACGAGAGCTGCTGATGGGCATTGTACCCATTCTTTCCGTACCCATTTCTATCGTGCCGAACGACGAACGCGCAGGCGGGGGGCCGGGGCGGACGCCCTCCCGGAAGCCCCGAGGGAAGCAGGGACCGATCTTCCGTGCACCCCGCAAGCTCCGAGGGGAGGCAGCCTGCCGCCCGGGAACGACTCTCTTTGCGGAGGGGGGGGGCGGATGGCCCAGGAGGCGGCAGAGCACGGAGGGAGGTCAGGGCGCCTCCTCCTCCGCCTCCTCCTCCTCCTCCTACTCGTCCTCGTCCTCGTCCTCCTCCACCCCCTCCTCCTCCGCCTCCTCTCCTCCTCCCCCTCCTCCGCCTTCGCCTCCGCCTCCTCCACACGGGGAACGTGGCAGAAGCCAGGGCGGTGGCGCGCCCAGGAGACCTGCAGCAGTAGAAGCCTCCTGGATTGGGTCGGAGCAGATGGGGTCGGAGGATCGCGCCACATCCGATGCGGCGATGCGGCGCATCGCCGACATATCGGCAATGTATCGGCGGTGCATCAGCGATGCATCGGAGATGCACCTGCGATGCATCGGCGACGTCGGCGATGCATGGGCGACGCCGGCGTGGAGAAAATCGGGCTCCACATCGAGCCGCATCGCCGATGCATCGGCGAGCGCCGCGATCCTGCGTCATTTTTTGAGCGGGCTCGATCTGCGAGGGTCCTGGGGCCCGAAAAGAAGCGAAACCGCCCGGCTCGAAGAAGTTGGGACGCCAGGATCTCAGGGTTCGACCTTCCAGAGTGCTGGTCTGCAGAGTCCTGGCTCGCGGGGCCCCAAAGGGAGGCCGAAGGAAAACCCGCCCAGATCGAACGGGCCAGTCCACCAGAGAAGCCTGGGCCCGTGCCAGCGGCCACGCCCCGCTGGCCCGGGCCGAGCGGGGAAGAGCACGCACGTGCGCAGGCATGAGCTTCCGCGGGTCCGCGCAGACTCTTCCAAGATATGGAACCCACCAAGGACGTACGCGCCCAGCTGTGTACATGAACACGGCCCCTCCATCCGCGAGACTGGCCGCGGGGCACGAACATTTGCGCAATGCGTACTCTCGAAACCAGCGCGGATTCATGTACGTGTGCGTCCTTCTTTCGCGCCTGACAAGACGTGCGACAACCTGAACAAAAATCAAGAGGGGTTGTTCCGCGTTTCCAGCCTTTGGGGGCCCTTGCCGGGCCCCGGGGCCGTCGAACAACGGCCAGGGATGAAGAAGCGGCCCTGGCGAAAGGGTCGGGACGTCGGGGGACCGCGCATTAAAAAAACTCGGACATCGCACGTCTGGGAAGCGGTTGGACGTCCGCGAGGATCTCTTGGGTCGGCGCTGACCTCCTTCTCCTGCGCGGGCCCGGCGCAGAAGAAGAGCAAAACTGCCCAAGCAAAAACTTTTCGGAGGTCCGTGCGAAGTTTCTTTGGTCGGGCCCCCTCCCTGGCGAGAGGGGGGGGAGGGAGGGCAGGGCAGGGTGAGTGGTGTCAGAAGAGAATCGCCCTGGACGGCCTCTGGAGAAGGGAACTATCAACCTCAAGCTGAGTTCGCTCCCTGAGTCCACCTTTGGGCGAACCCCCGACACTCTGCGTAACCCCCGACCCTCTTCGCGCGGAGCGCGCCAGGGGCGGCGCCGAAGGCGCCGCCAAGGCGGGCACAATGCCCGCCCAGGAAATCCGCGAAAACCTCTGATTCGTGTTTGTATTGTTGTTGCTGATCCTCGGGACGGGCCGTCAGGACGAGAAGGCCCCCAGGGCAGTGTCGCCACGAACCAGATGGCCCCGGGGCCCACGACTCGCGCTGGATACTCTGCGCTATATCCAGGTTTCTCTGAGGCAGTTACGCTGACCTGCGTCGACCTAGCTGGCTCTATCTGCGCAAGCAAAGTGCAGAAGAGTCGTCAAGCCGTTCCCGAACAACCCGACGAAATACTTTTGTTGAGTGCGCAGCCCCAGGGTGGTCCGACCCCCCTGCCCTAGTGCAAAATTTTCGCCGCAGATCCGCTTTTCAGGGACCGACAATGGCTCTCAGAGTCCGAATCATTGAAACAGCACCACTCCAGGTATCCGACTGCGCGCTTTTGTTTGTTTGTAACGTGGCTTCCAAACATGATGTTCCCCTTCCTGGCATAACTTCCTGAGCCGTGTTTTGACGGCCCCAGGGACCGGCAAGGGCCCCCGAAGGGCGAGAATAGACATAATCTGTTCGTAGTGATTCCGAGGAATTCAGGGACGTTTCAAGAAAAGCATGTCGTAGGGGTCAAAAAGAACACATCGACAAGGATCTTGGCATGGCTCGGGCCTCTGGCGGCTGTTCGGGACGATCCTGGCACCCCCAGAACGACCTGGGCCTAGGCACAGATGCTAGAAAGCATCCCGAGCCCGCGAAACACAGACATTTGCAAAACCATACACAACAACCGTAGCACAACCAGCAACAAAAGGAGCAACAACAACAACGACAACAACGATTACAACAACAACATCATCAACAACACCAACAACAACAACGGCAATAACCACAGCAAAACACAACAGCAACGGCAACAACAACAACAGCAACAACAACAATCTCCGCAACACCAACACCGACGACAGCAACAACATCCACAAAAAACAGCAGCCGCAGCAGTAGCGACAATCTCACCACCAACAACAACACCACCACCACCACCAGCACCACCACCAACAACAATAACACCAACAACAACAACGACGACAACAACAACAACAGCAGCAGCAACAACAACAACAGCACCAGCTACAACAGCAACAACAACAGCACCAACAACAACATCAACAACAACAACACCACCAACAACAACAATACCAACAACAACACCAACAACAACACCAACAACAACACCACCACCACCAACAACAACAATAACAACAACAACAACATCACCATCAACAACAACAGAAACAACGATGACACTGACAACAACAAAAAACGACAACACCAACAACAATGATTACAAAGAGCACCACCAACAGCAGCAACAACAAGCATAACACCAACACCACCACCACCAACAACAACAATGCCAGCCAAGCAACAGCCACAACCACAGCACCAACGACACCGACAACAACGACAACAACACCAACGACAACAGCAACACAACCACCAACAGCAGCAATACCAGCAGCAGCAGTGACAACAGCATCAACCTCGGCATCACCACGACAACCACAACGATAACAACAACGACAACAACAACATCACCAACAACACATACAACCACGACAACACCAACAACAACAATCACTTTAAGACTGTTCGCTCTTACCGGCTTGCGTGCCTTTAGCACGTATATCCCAAAACCTCGATACCCGCCCCCTTCGTGTTCCATCGTACCCCCTTGGGGGGTATCTGTGTAGTTATTAACTGCAGCGTGTCGTTCGTGCAACCCCTTGGGAAGGGGAAGAAAGGACGGATGGAAGGAAGGGACAAGGGGAAAGGAGGAGGATGGACCACGAGAGAAATTAGCAGGAGGGGAGCTAGGAGCAGAGAACACGTAGTAGCATCAGATGGGCGGATCGGGCGGACAAACCCTTTCGGGCGGGTCGGGAAAGCGGGCCCAGGCGGCCAGGTCGACAGGTCGACCAGGCGGGTTGCTGAAGCGAGCGTCCTGCATGACTCGCGAGGAAGCGTCGAGCGATTGCGCGGTTACCATGTAACTCTTGGAGAAATCCACAGCGAGAGCCTGATTTCTGAGTGTCGAAGGAGCGGCGTCTGAATACATCCACAGGAATTCCCACGCGAGAGCTCGATTCTTTCACAAGTCCCGCGCCAGAGCCCAAATTGTACACTGTCAGGAACTAACAGGCGGAACCGCTGTTGTCGTTGTAAGCCGGGCGGATCGATCGTGAGTTCTGTGTGAATAGCCAGGGACTTTCCAGCGAGAGAGCGATTCCTAAGTAGCTATGAGGAAGTCCCCAGCGAATGCGCGATTCCTGAATGGCAAGAGCGCGGCGCCTGAGTAAATTGCGAGGACGTCTTAGGCGGGAGCGCGATTCTTGAGTAAATTGCGGCGAAGTCTCAAGCGGGAACGGGGGACCGCAGAAAATTTCGAGAAAGTATCAAGCGGGAGCCGTTGTTGTTGTTGTTGTAAACCGAGGGCCAGGGGCACAGTTTGAGGAGGAGAACCTTCCCGGATAAAAAACAGGGTGCGAGCGCCGGGAGGCGCACTTCAATGGAAAAAACTACAGTGTGCACTGGAGGGGGGGGATCATCAATAACTATTCTTCAATCGTGAGAATTCAACCACAATAACAACTAAGCGGGCCCCTGGGGCGCGCCTTACCGGGCTGCCAACCAGGGGGCGCCACGCGGGGGGCCACCACGGACATGTTGTCTCTGGACTCCTGCCGCGGCGCCGCGCCGCGCTAAGGCCTCCTCGTCGCGCCCTCCTCTCCCCCCTCGCCCTCCTCACCCTCCTCCTCCTCCTCCTCCTCCTCCTCCTCCTCCACACCCTCTTCCTTCTCCTCCTCCCGCTCCTCCTTCCTCCTCCTCCTCCTCCTCCTCTTCCTCCTCCTCCTCCTCCATCTCCTCCTCGTTCCTCCTCCTCCCCCTCCCTCCTCCTCCATCTCCTCCACCTTCTCCTCCTCCTCCTCCTTGCCCCCCCCTCCTCCTCCTCCTCCTCCTCCTCTCCTCCTCCTCCTCCTCTTCCTCCCCTCCTCCTCCTCCTCGTCCTCCTCCTCCTCCTCCTCCCTCTCCTCCTCTTCCTCTTCCTCCTCCTCCTCTTCTCCTCCTTCTCCTCCCTCCTCCACTTCCTCGTCCTCCTCCCCCTCCTCCTCCTCCTCCTCCTCCTCCTACTCTCCTCCTACCCTCCTCCCCCCCTCCTACACCCCTTCCTCCTCCCCCTCCTCCCCTCCTCCTCCTCCTCCTGCTCCTCCTCCTCCTCTTCCTTCCCCTCCTCCTGCTCCTCCTCCTCCTCCTCCTCCTCCTCCTCCTCCTCTTCCTTCCCCTGCTCCTCCTCCTCCTCCTTCTCCTCCTCCTCCTCCTTCTCCCCCTTTCTCCTCCTCCTCCTCACGATTTTCTCTTATGTATAACTCCTCCCTGTCGCACCTCGCGGCAAGTTGGAAAGGCGGGCCGGGCGTTTCGCCTGAGACTTCCGTACCATGTATGAGCCTCAAGCTGAAAAACTGACAACAGTTTCACGGATGGAGGGCCGGCCACTTCCAAAATGCGGCTCTCGCCCTAGCGCCGCGCACATTCGTTTGAGAAAACTGCAAGGATCGCAACGTTCGTTTGAGAAAATGTGAGTCTCGCCTGAGCACCGCGCACACCCGTTGAAACAATTGCAAGAGCTTCACGGGTTGAGAGCAGTTCGTTTTCACACTGTGGCTCTCGCGTTAGCGCCGCACATTTTGTAAAGCATTTCCAAGAGCTTCACGGATTCAGGGCGGCTCCTTTCAATATGTGGGTCTCGCCTCAGCACCGCGTACATGCGTTTGAACAGTTTGCAAGAGTTGCACGGATTGAAGGCGATGTGTTTTCAAACTGTGGCTCTCGCCTTAGCGCCGCGCATATTCGTTTGAAAACCTCGCAAGAGTTTCGTTTACTTGCAGTGATAATGTACCAGGGACGGTGTTAACACGATTGTCAAGTCACTACAGGTACGTTGATTCGCGGTGTCTAAGTCCCAGGAACGGTTATCTGGCGCGACTCAGGATCGGCAAGACGCGCTGTCCAGTTCGTGGCCTTGAATGCCTGAGAGAATGGTGTTTTGGCACGCTTGCGGATTTTCACACGGCTGTCCCCCTACGGGGCACTTCCCTCAGTGGGAATGAACCCCTGTGGGGGACTTTGAAGAATGAGTTCTCAGAAGGCCGGGGGCCTTCCGCCCCTTCTCACTTCCCCCCGGGGCTCGCCGCCGATAAAGGTACACTGGACCAAGATGCCCCCAGCTTTTTGCTCCGTCTTGGAGCCCCTGGGGCCCCCTGGGCCTCGTGAGTGGTGCTCTGGAGGCCTCTGGGGCTTCCTCAGAAATCCTGGGGGCACCTCGGGCCAGGGGTCACTTCTACCAACACCCGACCCTGAGATCATGTTTGTTCGAGCTGGGTGGTGTTTTTGCTAAATTTCGGGCGCGGCGAGGCCTTGGTCAAGCGGTTCCTCGCGAGGGCGTGCCACATAAGACGCCGTTCCAGAAACGACCCCGCCTTCCCTGAGATATCCGTGCGTCTCAGCTTTCGAGTCGGGCGTTTTCGCATACTTTCGGGCCCTGGAATCCTCACAGGTCGATCTGGACCGAAACACGGCACATAATGATGGGGTCCAGGGCTCCAGTGATGGCGTGTCCTATGTTTCACTTGACTCGCCACGTCGGATCTCATGGTCTTCTCGGCGATGAGGGGAAACGTCAGTAGAGTTAGGTCGGGCCTGTCCCCCTACAGGGATTTTTGGGCAAACATTGAAAATACTCAAAACAAAACCCCAAATAGTCAAAACATACTCAAAACACAGTCCCCAGATTATGTTTATTTTATTTTTTTGAGATTCCCCCTGTAGAGGGACAGGCCCGACTTAACAGTAGAGGCCTCCCAGGTGGTGTCACGAGCGGCGAACATATCTGCGCCATCGCGATCTGGCTTCTGGGGCGCGATCCCGCGGTCCGCGAGGGACATCCACGAAGAAACGCCCCTCATCCGCGGGGTCGCGGCCCAGGGGCCCTGCCCGCGAGGCCGCGGATACGGATAGGTTGTTCGCCCACAGTGGGGTCCGAGAAGATGGCGTCGCAGGGTCGCGACGCATCGCCGATGCATCAGCATCGACTACGTCGGCGATACATCGGCGACATCGACGTGGGGAAAATCGGGATCCACATCGAGCCGCATCGCCGATGCATCGGCGATGTGGCGCGGTCCTCCGACCTCTTCTGATCTGACCCCATCAGGGAGGCCGAGAGTTAGGGGGGGACCAGCTAGGGAGGGAAACATGTTGGCGTTTCATTGCCAGTAGATCGGCGATGGGCCCCCCATTTGCAACTCCGCACGTTGATGCGCGGGGCTGGCTATGACGACCTTGCATGAAGGCGGGGGCTTCTTAGAAGGCACGGGCATCCTCAGAAGGCCCCGGAGGCTGCTAAGTACGAAGGCTTCTTAGAAGATGGGAGGGTTTCTAAGAAGCCACCAGCCTTCTCAGAAGCCCACGCCTTCTTAGGCCGCCCCCCTCGCGCCACCCCCTTGTGCGCACCATCAAAGGGTGCGGTGCATCCACGTTTTCCTCGGCTACACGCAAGAATGACCGTGGGCAAGAATAACCTTTGGTAGGCGGCCTGCCGATGCTGGCGTGTGATGCGGCAGTATCGCACTGCGTGGCTTGGGCTCGGCGTGGCCCCCACACACACGCACACGTCCCCCGAAAGCCGCGCACCAAAGGCTACTCCGGCGAACCGATCTCATCGTACCCCTGCCCCGTTCAGATCGCTGCGCTCACAAGCCCCCTTCGCGTCGTCACACACCCAAACACACGACGTGAGGCTCTTACCAATGTTCGGCCCCAGGGGGACCTCACTGGGCCCCAGGACCATCAGACAACTGCCCGAGATGAGAAAACAGTCCTGGGGAAGAGGCCCAGACCTCCAAGGATCCACGCTGTGAGCCGCATCCTCCGCGACGGGCAGTATCAGCGGCCACGATGGAGGCCTCCCGGATGGGGCAAGAGCAGATGGGGCCGCATGATGACACCGCGTCGCGAATGCATCGGCGACGTCGCGATGCATCGGCGACGTCGGGACGGAGTGCATCGAGCCAAAGATCGGGCCCCTGATGCGGCGCGATCCTCCGACACAATGTTCTTCAGCGCCCCATTTGGGAGACCTGGAACAACTCAATCATCACCAATATCATCACCACTATCATCACCACTATCATCACCACCACCACCACCGTCGCCACATGACCAGAAGCATCGCCATCACCATCGCCACAAGCAATACCACCACCACAAGGATCACCACCACCACACTAGTCATCGTCATCAAAATCATCACCCCAACCATCATCATCATCATCATCATCATCATCATCATCATCATCATCATCATCATGATCATCATGATCATCATGATCATCATCATCATCATCATCATCATCATCATCATCATCATCATCATTGTCATCATCATCATCATTGTCATCATTAACAGCATCATCATCAGAGGCATCATCATCAGCATCAGCACCATCATCAGCGTCATCATCGTCAGCATCGGCATCATTATCATCATCATCACCACCATCATCATCACCATCAGCATCATCATCATCATCGTCATCATCATCATCATCGTCATCGTTAGCATCATCACCATCATCAGCATCAGCGTCATCATCATCAGCATCTCAGCATCATCATCGTCAGCATCGGCATCATCATCACCACCACCATCATCATCATCATCATCATCATCATCATCATCATCTTCAGCATCATCATCATTATCATACAAATCGTCGTCGTCATCAGTATCGTCACAACCACCATACCATCACCACCACCAGCATCATCACCATCACCATCACCGCCATCAGCAGCAGCATATCTACCATCCTCATCACCATCACCAACACTAACAGTCATCATCACCACCAACAGCATCAGCAACCGACGCACCAATCACCATCATCACCACCCTGGCAATAAGCATATCGCCATCACCACCACCACCACCATCACGATCACCAACACTGCCACCGCCACCACCGTGATCACCGCCACCATCAGCACCTTCATCGCCACCACTGCTCCCACCGCCCACGGGCGCGGCGCTCCTCCACGAAAGCGTGCCACCTGTCTGGCACCTGCCCGGGGTCTGTCAGCTGCGCCTCGCGGCGCAAGGGGGGGCGAAGAGCGCGGGCGCGAGCGAGGGAGTGAGCGAGGGGGCGAGCGGGAAGCGAGGGGGGAACGGGGAGGGAGCAAGGAAGAGGAGCGAACCAGGCAGCGCGGGAGGAGGGAGCGGAGGGGAGGAAGGGGAAGGGGGGACAGGGGCGGTCACCGTCGAATCGACAAACGGGATGAGAACGGAACAGACATAGATTCGGGCCGCATGGGCACGGCATCGAAATCGAACCGAAACAGCCGAGCCAGGATGCACAGTTCCGCTGTGCCAACATCGGGCCTCATCGGACCGCCGGGAGATCGAATCGTTGGCCAAAAATCGACATCGAATCGGACCGACCTGAACGAAGTCGACCCTGTGAGCAGGGGGGAATACGACCTCAGGAAGGAAGGGGCATGAGAGAGGTGGGGGAGCACGCTAGGTGCAATCGCGGCATAATTGACAGCCTATCCTTCCCCCCATCCTTTACCACTGCGCCGCTTTGTCTCTATGCACGGACGCGTGTCATAGCCGACCTTGCAGAAACCTTTTGACACAAGTGGGCTGCGGAAAAAGGCCAACAAGGACCCCAGAAGGCCCGAGACGGGCAGGAAGGCCCCTGGAGGCCCCCAGGGGGAGCCCAAAGGAGACCCCCAGACACCCCCAAGAGAGACCACGGACGCTCACAGCTCCAGAAGACAGCACAGAACAATCCCAGGGCGGCCTCAGAGGACTTCTAACATCGCTCAAAGATGCCCCAAGTCTTGGGGCGTGTCGCGTTGTCGTGAGCCCCTCTGGGGCCGTCTGAAGCTCTTCTGGAGGCTCTCGTTGGTCCACTTGGGGCCTTCTTGGGGCAGTCCTCAGCCCTCCATTGCTCCTGTGAGGAGCCCCAGAAGCCATATCTAATCAAAATGTGTGGGACCCAACACATCGTCGAAAACCATAGAAATGGTTCTGGCCCTTGACTGATGTAGACACTATGGGATTCTTCCTGAGGCCCTGTTGGGGCGGCCCTCATTGGGCGATCTGAGAACCGCTTGTGCCCTCTGGGGTTCTCTCGGATTCGTCCGCAAGTTAGCTTAAGAACTCGTGGGTGCACTGGGGCCGTCTTACGAGCTCTTGGAGCATCTGGGAGGACCTAGAGGAGGTTGCAGAGGGGAGGAGTGACTTGCCAAGGCCCTAGGGCTGAAGGGCGCCAGCCCTACACCCACACCGCCCGTTCTTGGCTAAGGATTGGTGTAAACGCCCTCCTGGCCAAAGGCCCTGGGCCCCCTGGGGCCTGAATATGAGAAAGGCGCGCGCAGGATTTACTATTACTTCACCTCGTCCCGCCCCCCAAGAGTCTCGACTAAAATCCTCCCCTCGCAGGAGGAAGCATACCTTCAGCACGTCGCCGCACCTTCATCTCGATCGCCACCAGCCTCGAGCGGTATAGCGGCCGTTTCTGGTCTTTTTTGTTGGTGACTCTCCACCGCATGTCGATGGGCCGACATCCTTCCAACTCCATGTCGCGCCTGGGTACTTTGGCCCAGACGTCTCGACTCCCGCGCCACTCCATCTCTTCGCGCCTCGCCTCTCTCACGCGCCGCGGGTCCAAAAAACCACCGCGCGCATCGCCCGCGCGCGCTTCCGCCCCCCGGTCGAGGCCCCCCCCGCGCGGCGAAGGTCGGGCAGTGAACCCCGCTTCGCGAAGTCCATCCAGGATCGCTCTTGCAAGCTACTGGGGGCACTTCTGTGCTGCTCGTGCTCGTTTGTCTCCAATCAAGCACCAATGTCGGCGCGACTCTCTGCCTGCCCAAGAAACTTGGCACTCGCCCTCCAGGATCTTAGCCAATATTCTCGAATTCGCCATCCAGCCAGTCTCTTTGCGGACAAGCGCCATGCGCCCATCGGGTCGATGCGACTGCAGGCCCCCTTGGCACATAGGACCTCGCACCGCGTAAACTCCAGGTAGAGCACAAACGCGCTGCGCGCAAGGCCGATCCCATGACGAATCCACCCACGGGTGTTCGCGGAGAAAGAGAACACCTCATCGATACCTTCGTTCGCAGACTTGCATAAAGAACTCCAGGAGCGTCTCGCCTCCTAGGATCTCCTGCGACACGACCTCTGGGCCCCGCTCGTCGTTGCTCAGCGCTCGGGGCAAGCGGGAGATAGCGCGGGGGAACGACGACGTAGTGAGTAGCGGGTCTTCCTCATCCAACCTGTCCACGCACTCTCTGCGCTGCCACTCGCCAAGCAAGCCCCACCCAGTGGTGGGATCTGCTGCGAGCCCAGCCGCCAGGCCAGGCCCCGACGCCCTCTGCTCGAACCGCTCGGGGAGTAGATCTTCTCCGCAAGGTCAACTCCGCCCATCTCGGTCAGCGTCTTCGCGACCTACTTCAGCTCGTCGCACGTCATCTCGTTGTCGCCGAGCAGGACTGCGGCGCTCGCCAGCGCCAAGATCTCTTGGCACTTCTGGTCCTGGACCGTGTCGACGGAGCCCTGATCCACGTTGCTGCCAGCTGGCGCCGCCGGCCCAGCACGTTCCTCCATGTCGCCTAAGCCTCCGGCCCCTCTGGACATGGAGCTGCAAACATTGCGCCCGAACTGCTGGGCGCTGCTCCAACCCTGCCTGCCGCGGCGCGTCCGCCGCCAGCTCGCCGTCCACGGCCATCCTGACCTGGCCCGGCTCTGCGCTCCCTGCCCGCTTCCGACCTGGCGTCGAAGCGGCTCGTGGCTGGATTGGTCGCTCTCGACTTCGCGGCTCGCTCGCAAGTCGCTCGCGAACTCCCGCGGGCTCCGCGTCCATCCTGCGCTGGCCCATTCCGCCTTCATCTGCTGCCCGGACTAGCGCGGCTGGAACCGGCGCTGGCCCGGCTTCTCTGCGACCCTTCCGCCGGCCTCGGCGGCCGCGCCTGCTGGCGCACCCTGTCCTGCGCCGCCTTCCTGCGCCTCTCCTCGAGCACCCGTGCGAAGACGTTGGGTGCTCCGCCAATCGAACGCGACCGGCCTCGTCCTTCAACACCTCCACGGCGATTCGGTCTCGGCAATCCTGCGAATGAGCCGCCCGCTCCGAACCGCGGGCCATCAAACTGACGCTGGGATGGGCATCCAGGCGCCATGCCGTGCTTCACGATGTCACTCCAGAGCGCGCAGCACTTCCCGATGGCCACGCCGCGCCCCTCTTGCGTTTGAGTGGACAGACGCAAGGGCCCGCGAGACCTGCCGCGGCAGCCCGATCAGCTAGCTGCGACATGAGGTGCCACCTGATGATCGGATGGCTCGCAGCAATCTCAAACCCAAAAGGCACGCTGCAGAGTAAAGAAGTTCGCCCTGATATTCCGCTCCACCTGCGTGGCCTTCTGCCCCGCGTCTCCCGCGCCCCTGCGGTCGCCCTTGGGAGACTCCGCCGGCGCGCGCTCGATCTGCGCGCCCACTGCCACCATCGCGGCCTTCTTAACCGCGCAGACCCGGCGACCCAGGCGCTCGAGGAGGCGCCCGCGAGCCACTTGACCACAAAATCCGACGCAGTCTTCTCCTTCGCGGCGGTCGCCCCCTTAACCTTGTCGGGGCGCGCAGCAGCCGCTCAGATTGGGGCGGGGTATGGTTCCTCGGTGTTGTCCACCTTCTCACCGGCGAACGCGCGGTCGATGCTGGTGACCAGATGCTCGCTCTCTCGATCCTTCGCTGCTTGGGCGCGCTGGCATCCGCAACCTGCTGCCGCAGCGCACCCCTCTCACCGCGCGCGGAAAGCAGCATGCTCACATCGGTGGTGGCGACGATCGGTCATCATTCCGATCTGGCTCTCCGCTCGGCCTGCTGGCCTGGCAGCCACTCTGGCCGAACGCATGGGAGCCCCATCTGTCGCCTCTTCGCGAGCCGCCCTTGTTCTGACCTTTACCTTCGCTTTTCTGGCCCTTGCCATCGCCGCCCTTGCCAGTGCACTTGCCGCCCTTGCCCTCAGTCAGCTTCACGCGGCAGTCTCTCGACGCGTGTCCGGTTTGGCCGCGCCTCCAGCAAGCGGGGCACCGACCGCCATCTCGCCCTTTGCCTGTGGAATGCTGCCCTTTACCTTTCCCACCTCGAGCTTTGCCTTTCCCGTGGCCAGCTCCTTTGTACAGCAGCGAGTCCACGTCCATCGGGTCGTTATTCCGCATCCGCTTGAACGTTCCCTGCGAATGTCACCACTCCAAGAAGCACAGAATCTCATCCGTCACCTTCTCGACCGATTCAAGTCGCGTCTTGCTCATCACCAAATGCAGCTCGAAGTCCTCTGGAAGCATCGTTTCCGAAGCCGCCTTCTCAGCATCGTCGTCGACCTGGTCCACCCTGTCGGCTGAGCTCCCCCCATTCCTCGAGCTCCGCGTGCAATTCGGCCAAGGTGGTTCGCTGCGGGTTCATGATCTTATCGAGTCGTATCCGTCGTGTTCCTCCTGAAGATAGGCTCCATCGTCTGAGCCACTTCCTCCTTCCAATCGGGTATCTTGTCGCTCCCGTCAGCCTCATCCCCGATCTGGTCCTCTCGCGTTTCCATCGTGATCGGTGTCGCGTTATGCGCCTGATACCCAACCCACTCCAGGAGTCCTCTGAACTGCTCACCGGAGATCGCGGTGAAATGCGCCCACGTCTTTCGGTGCCGCTCCACAGACTTGTCTGCGTCATTCTTGAGGATCGCGGGCTCGCCAAATCCCTTGGTATCTACTAGAGAAAATCCACCTGACTTATCTTTCGCCGCGCTCGCCTCGCCAACTTCTGGGCTGCATTTCCCAGCTGCTGGGCAAGCCTGGGCAACACTCCTTGGAACTGCTGCTGGCGTTGAACTTAATGCTGGAGCTGCTGCTGCTGCAACTGCAACTGCTGGTTCAAGTTGTTGTTCTGAACCGTCAGCTGTTCCACTTGCCGTTGCAAGCTAGCGAGGGCTGAGCGGTCCTGCTCGTTCATTCTTGATGTATCTGAGGTACTGGCCAAGATTGACCCACAACTTCTTCAGCCTCTGCACCCTGCAGACCGTCAGTAGCAGCCACCTCCACGCTGGTGCCGTTCCTATCCAGCGCCTGCTGCGCCGGGCACGTCGGTCGAACTGCTCGTCGACCTCTATCGTCTCTCAGTGGTCCTGTGTCGCCGCCGAGGCCCGCGATGGCGGGCGCCTGGTCTCGCGGCCCGAGGGTGCCGAAGGCAGGGGCCCTCGCTCCGCTGCAACGCAGAAGCCTTTCGACACAAATGGACTGCGGAGGAACGCTGCAATAGTCTCAACTCTCCAAATCTCCTCACAATGCTCTCCTACCCTGAAATTACCCGAAGGATCTTTACAGACTTGGACTTCCAAACGCAACCTCATCGTGCTATGCGCAGTCGGACACGGGGGGGGGGGGGGCGATGTGGGTAAGGACAGCTATATTCGCGCTTGGCGCTGCGCGAAGCGCGAAGAACTTCGCGCTCTCGCGCCGCCCTCATGGGGGAGGAGAGGCGGACGAAGATGACGAGGATGAGGACTCACGAATCGCGAACCGCGAAAAACTTCGCGCCCTCGTGGCGGCCATTGTATGGACACCGACTGCGGATCGGGCTCGGAGTGGCGGACACGGGCACGCCAGGAGAATGGGCAGAGGCGCACCCTCCTTTTGGTCGAGAACCCCATGGCGCCCACGCGTGCCAGAACGAGTCGTGCATGGGGAGTTCGAGGCAGAACAAGAGGAACATTACACCAGAGAAAAACCTAATCAGTGGATGGTTTGATGAGATCGATGGTGAGATCGATTGGGTGAGATGAAAAATGAGATCGATCATGAGGTCGTTAAGGAATCGTGGGATCGATAGCGGGATCGACCGGGAACCCGGGAATCCAGGAACCCAGCCGGCTACGAAAATCGGATCTTCCTCTTCCCCCTCTCGTGTGGCGCCCCCCATCCGAAGATGAAGAGAGAGAGAGAGCGAGGAAGGAGGGGAAGTAGATGAGGAGGGTGAGAAAGTGGAGGGAGAGAAGGCAGCGGAGTCCCTCTTTCTCTGAACTTTGCGCAGCGGCGGTGACTAAGCGCTGGCGGCGTCTTCAACCAGCAAGTGACACACTCGGACTTAACCCGAGGCGTTCCCGAAACCGATTCGGCTCCACCAGTCTTTCCCCAGGGAGGATGAGGAGAAGGAAAAGGATCGAAGTGGCCCGCTCCACACGTAATCAGAAATTTATACCTCGGACGCATGCTCATCAAGGTCAACCAAGCCCGCCCAGGAGGTCAAAAAACGTGGCCGACAGGGATCCCCAGCTAGCTGCTGTACAAACATGCCAGAGAGGGAGGAGGGGAGGAGTAGAAGGGAGGGAAGGAGCATATAAGAAAACAACATAAACATGAATGTTCGGAGATATGCGCTTGGATAGGCGCTGGAGGCGCCGCCAGAGGGGTCCAGCCCCACGCAAATGCAAGATCTGCGCCGATCTTCGAAAGCTTCTGTTTATGCAATTTTCTGCTTCGAGAAGGAAAGGAAATCGGGGAGACGTAAGACACGAGTTTGGGGGACTCCAAGTAGCCTGACGGGGCCTTAGGACAATGAGGTGACGTGGTCCGAAATTTGACGCGGGCCATCGCTGCGAATATCTCACAAAACTCAGACCGCCAACATTTAAGCCAGGACCACCAACAAACTACGGCAAACCCAGGCTCTGGCAAACTCGAGTCTTAAGTTGCCCCGAGAGGGACGCGGAATGAGTACCGTTTACCGATCTCTACCCCTCCTGGCGTGACCTGGGCCCCCTAGATGGGGGTATAGGATATGCGCTGCTCCCATTGGGTTTCGAAGGGCACCTCCCCGCCTGGTGTGGTGAGATGGTGGGTCTCGGGACTGGGATGGAGATGGGGATCGGCTGAACGATGCCGACGGAAGAGAATGCCCGCCTGTCAGGGCGACGCTAACGGCGATGTTCATGCACGGCGATGTTGGGAATCTGGTTTTTGCGGCGCCGAAGTCGCGCAGAACAATTCGTAGGACATCGCGGACCACACGTTCCTACACTTCAAACACGCGAGCGTATAGGGCAAAGACGACACGGATAATTGTAGGAAACTGCGAACCACGCTTTTCTACACTCGGGTCGGCCACGAACCACCCCCGCCTACATTGCGGAAGCCTACATCGACATGACCTGCATCGCTGTTAGCGTGTCTACGGTGCCCGCCTGGACGTAGCTCCACATGGTCATCAGCCACAGCGAATCGAACAGCGCCAGGCAGGGCACGACCAGCGACTCCTCCCGAGGGGGATGCGGCCCCCGGGCGGCCGGGCCATGCCAACGTCGCGCCGCCTCCTGCCCGAAGCATCCTCCTCGTCCTCCACCTCCGAGCCTCCCTCCTCCAAAGCATCGCTGACCTCTTCTCCTCCTCCTCCGCTTCCTTCTCCTCCTCCGCCTTCTCCTTCACCTCCTCCTCCTCCTTCACCTCATTTCCTCCTCCTCCTCATACTCCTCCTCCTCCTGATCGTGCAACTATCACACCCATCATCATCCACATCCTCCTCCTCCTCTTCCTCCTCAACTCCTCTTCCTCCTCAACCCTCTCCTCCTCCTCCTCCTCCTCAGCATCGTCATCATCGTCAGCATCATTATCAGCATCAACAGCGTCATAATCAGCATCATTATCATCATGATCATCCTCCTCATCACCATCACCATCATCATGATCATCCTCATCCTCATCCTCATCCTCATCCTCATCCTCATCATCATCATCATCATCATCATCATCATCATCATCATCATCATCATCATCGTCGTGGTCGTCGTCGTCATCGTCATTGTCATCATTATCCTCATCATCATCATCATCATCGCCATCATCATTATCATCATCGTTGTCATCATCAGCAGCATCATCATCCTGATCAGCATCGTCGTCATCATCACCACCGTCGTCGTCATCGTCATCATCATCAGCATCATCAGGACCATCATCATAAACATCAACATCGACATCGTCATCATCATCGTCATCAGCATCAGCATCATCATCGTCATCACCATCCTCATCATCATCACCATCAGCATCAACAACATGACTCACCACAACCGACACCATCATCAGCATCATCACCATCACCAACATCGCTGCCATCATCATCATCATCACCATCACCAACAATAATAACGTCAGCAGCGTCATCAACATCGCGATCATCACCGTCATATCGTCATTACGTCATAGGTGTCAACATCATGAACATCAGCATCATCATCAACATCAGCATCATCCGCCTTCTCAACACCATCACCATCATCATCCTCATCATCCGCACCATCATCACCATCGTCATCAGCATAGTCAACATCAATAGCATCATCATCATCATCATCATCATCATCATCATCATCATCATCATCATCATCATCATCATGGTCGTCGTCGTCGCCATCACCATCACTCCATACTGAGCATCATCATCATGATGATAACCATCCTCATCAGCATAATCATCATCAGCATCGGCATCAGCCGCATCATCATCACCACAACCCTTAAAGTGACAAGCCTCATCATCATGGTTTTCATCATTAGCAGCAGCATCATCATTACCATCAGCATCATACTCAGAATCAGCATCATCATTATCACCACCGTCGTCGTCATCGTCATCACCATCATCATCAACAAGCATCAGCAGCAGCATTGCCATCAGCATCATCAGCATCATCATCAGCCGTAGCATGCCATCCAGCATCATCATCACCACCACCACCTTCATCAAAATCATCATCATGACCATCATCCTCAACAGCATCATCATCAACATCATCATCATCATCACTACTAACAGTGTCGTCGTCATCATCATCAGTATCATAATCATCATCAACACCAACATCGTCATCGTCACCATAATCATCATCGCCACCGCAAGCATCAACATCATCCACCTCATCATCACCACTCAACTTATCACCACCATCCGTTCTCCGCTGAGCGGGGCAGACGGCTTGCCGCACAGCACGCCAGCGAGGTAGAACGACCCCTTCTCCTCTTCCTCCCCTTCCTCCTCCTTGAGCCACGGACCTGCAGTTTACGTGCTTCGGTGGCGTTGGGAAGAAGAATAACAAGGAGAAGCAGCAGAAGAAGAAGAAAGAGGGCAAGAAAGAAGACAGACCGCGTGCAAACCCGGCCCTGGCTGCTGGAAGCTTCAGGCCCGCCCGCTGGGACTGCCTCCTCACGTGAAGGGGTCGGAGGGGATGGAGGCGGTAGGCAGTGTACAGTCGGGCTGCTGACACAAGGAACGAAGCCCCTTTTTAACGCCAGCCCGGGGTGCACGAGGAGGGCTAGAGGAACAGCCATTGAGGGACCTGAGGAACAGCGAGTCCCTTCCGAACCCAAACTGTCCCAAAGTTCAGCGTCTTGGCTGTGAGGGGGGGGAGTTGCAAGGAAGAGAAAAGAGGAGGGAAGTGGCAGGGCAAGGGAAGGAGGAGGGGAGAGGGGCAGGAGGGCAGGGGGACAAGAACGGAGGATATAGGACGGGGGGGAAGATGAGGAGAAGGAGAAGGAATCTGAGGAATACGATGGGAGCCAGGAAGAAAGGAAGACGAGGTTTGCCTGGAGACGGGGGGGCAGTCTCGAAAGTTGGAGGTCCTCCTCCTCCTCTTCCACTCCCTCCCCCTCCCCCTGCTCCTGCTCCACCTTTGGCATCATCCTCGACAGGGGATATGTCGACCCCTATCCCAGGCTTCGTGGGATTTTCAAATGAACTAGAAATTTAGAGCCCAACCCTCGGGTATACGATGGGGGGGCGTCCATCCTCGATAAATAGGGGTGCGTCCGAATAGGGTCCCCCTCCTTTTCTGAGCGTCTTCATTTTCCGTCGAGCAGCCGGGGGCTGGGAGATAAAAATCGCCTGCGAATCCAAGCGTCGCCCTTTCCCCCACCTACCCCCTTCTTCCCTCTCTCCCGCTCTCCCTCTCCCCCTCCTGCCTGCTACCTCCGATCGCCGCGGACTGCAGCATGATCGGGCCGCCCGGCAGGGGGCACCACCTGCACCCAAGCGCTCCCATCAACCGAAGCTCCCAGGCGAGGCTCCCGGGCGAATAGTTAGGACGAGAACGATGCCACGGAACGCCTGGCTCAGACTACGTAGCCCGCGTGGAGCATTCGGAAGTCCTGGACATCCTGGACAGCTTGGAACGCATCAGCATCCTGACCTCTTGTCACGCCGTCATGCGAGCACGTGCAACGCCCACCCCCTCGACTGTCCGCCCCCGTCGTCGCACGCGACCCCCCGCTCCCCGTCCGCCCCCGCGCTCCCTCCTCTGGGCCCCGGCGCGCCTTGCCAGCTGCCGGCAGCACCTTGCCCAGGAAGACGAGGTTGTACGCCAGCACCTCGAAGAGCAGCACCCTGGCGGGCGGCCCAGAGGAGGAGGGGAGGCCATTCTGGCGCAATCTCAGCATGCGCAGAAGTATGCCGCGTGGTGGATGCAAGTAGCACCGCAGGCGCGCGTGGCGCCCGCGCAGATTCTCGAGGATGCACGCGCCATTGCACTCAGGGGACCCCTGGAACTGCCACTCAGCTACTCAAGTGCCTGGTCAAAGGCGATGGAGATAGGCCTTCTGATGCAGATTCAGGTGACGGCGGATTGACCAAGAGCAGACTGAATACATAGATAGCAGGAACACGGAGGAGAAAGGGAAGGTGAAAGAGGGATTTTGACAGTGTGCTACATCAAGTCAAACTCTTCACTCTGGGAACAGGTTAAAACTCAATGGACAAAAACATGGTAAAAATAGTGACGCATTCATTCCAGCCAGACACTACTTACTTGAACGGCTTGCGCTGAAGGTCCGCGCGGATTCCTTGGATCGGCAATGAGCCCCCCCCTGGCGCGCTCCGCGCGCTAGGGGCGGCGCCGGAGGCGCCGCCAGAGGGGCCCAACGCCGATCCAAGAAATCCGCGCGGAGCTCCGAGAGCTCATGTTGATGTAGTTCCTTTTTTCTTCTTCTTCTTCGTCTTCTTCTTCTACGAGGGGGGGGGAATGCGGAGAGGAGATGGCAGAAGGTGACGAACGAACAAAACACACACGCACACCCATACCCATAGAGGGATGGGAGGGAGACGGCCTGGCAATGGGTATGGGTGCGGGTTGTCGGGCCGCGGTGGAGGCTCCCCTTCGAGCGGGGATCCCCATCCGACGACACGCGACCATAGCCACCTCGGCCCCCCCTGTGGGTATAGGTGTGCATTGTTCGCTCGTCAGGAGGGAGGAAGGGCGAGGAGCAGGAGAACCTGTGTCAGAGGCGCTGGAAGCTCGCTCCGAACGCGCCGGATCGCTCCTGGCCCACGGCACCGTTGCCAGCGCCCCTTGCTGGGAGCACTCGGCTCGAGCGCGCCCGCTCGCACCCCGAGCAGCCCCCTCGTCGCCAAGGCCGTCGGCAAAAAACTGAGAGGGAAGGAACGGGGGGGGTCAAAATCGTTACGGAACGTCCCTGGGGAGCCCAAGAGCGTCCTGAGCCCCTCGGCGGGGGGCGAATTCACCGTGAACCTTGCCTGGGGTGTCTGGGAGGCCTCCAGAATCGTCACAGACCCTGGGGCGCCCAGGGCGCCCTGGGCCCAGGGCTCTTTCACCGTGGGCCCCACTCTGGGCTTCCTGAGGGGGAACACATCGAGCTCGGATCGGCGATACACCGACAGATCGGCGATCGGCCCCCGACGGCAGTGCCGCACGCTGCTGGGGCTGGGTGGTGACTACCCAGGCCCACGTCGGCGACGAATGGGCGAATTGTAGGCCGATGCTTCCCCCCCACCCACGCCGAGACTATCCCCCCCTTCTCTAAGCCCCTGGGAAGTTCGCTCCAGGCGCACCGTTGACATCCTCCGACGTGATGTTCTTCAATCCGCGGCCCCAGAGCTCCAGACCCCATTGCCCGGGGGTAGTTTTATATCCAGGAGACGTCTTTGGCCCCGGGGCCCGATAACGGGCCCACGAGGCCCAAAACGATGAACAAACAACGTCCCCATATGAAAATCATGTTAGCCAGCGCGGACCCCAAACAGTGCGTGATAGCACTGCAGAAATGGCAGGCATGCGGCGCAAACTATGTGGTGACGACTATGTCGTGCAAGCTATGTGGTGTAAGCTATGTGATGTAAGCCATGCGGGGTGAGCCGAAATAAATTAGGCTGTGCGGGGTGAGCTGATGGTGGATGTCATGGGGTGTAGGCCGTATGCTTTAAGCTATGCTGTGTAAGATATGCGGTGCAGGCTGGGCAGGGCGCCCACGCGGCGGCACGGGCGGCAACGCGGCGCAATCTCGGCATACCCCCCAAACGCGGGGCGCCCACGAGGCGCCCGCGAGGCGCCACGGGCCCGCGACCTGGCGCAACCTCGGCACCCACACCCAAAGCGCGGGGCGCCCGCGAGGCGCCCACGGGCCCGCAACGTGGCGAAGACCTGGCGTCCCCGTTCAACTACTTCACGGCACGAAGCCAGAACCCCTACGTGCAGGCACTGCTTGGGGAGATTGCCAGAGATCTGGGTACATCACCGCACCAACGGCTGCCACCAGGAGGTGAACCAGAAAACAGACGACACCACCCCACCCACGTCCCCACGGGCCTCAGCATATACCATGCATTCCGCCTTAGGTTCTTGCTCGGTATACGCCAAGGCCCTCGATGGGCCGTAGCGCAACATGCCCCTCGCAGCCCAGCGCACGCGGCCCTGCCAGCCCCGCTGCCGAGGGCTCGCTGCCGAAGCCTCGCCGCCGGGGGCACACGCTCCCGCGGCCAGAGCGCATATGGCGCACTCCCTCGGGGCTGCGGCCGGGAAGCTCGGACCGAGCGATGTCTTTTGCCGCGGCGCGTTGGCAGCGCGCACGAGGGAGGAGGGGGAGGGGAGAAGGCTTCTCAGAAGCGCTCCTGAGAAGCCTTCCCCCCCTCTGCGCGTGGCTGGGCGCGGCCGATCGCTCAGCGCGGTCGGCCCAGGTCGGACTGCGACACGGCAGAGTAGCACCAGGGCGGCGGGGGGGAAACAGAGGGCGGCCGCAGAGAGGCGACGGCGGGCGGGCGAGGCGCTCGGGACGCGAAGTTCTCGACGCCAGTTCTGCCAGAGATGGCTCTGCCACTGCTGCTGTCGGGAGGCTGCGCAGCCAGTCCACCGCCTCTGAGGGGTCGTGCCTCGGAGACTCGGAGAGTGGTGGATACGGCGAGGGCATTGGCTAAGGACCCATTGGATAAGGAACCGAGGGCCTGAAGCCGGTGGAACACCGATGGAGGCTTGGCCACTGGATACCACCGCCGCCCTCATCAGCTAAGGGATCCTCCAGGGTCTGAAGCCTCCAGTGATCCTGCAGACGTATCAGGCCAAACCGCCCAAATGAATTGTCCCTGATGCGAAAACGGGGACCCTAGTGATGCCACGTCCTCATCGTGTTAGTAGGGTCGGGGGTTCGTTCGCGATGCTCCTGGGACAACTCCTCAACGAACGCCAACACTTGGCGGGCATCGGCCCGCGTCGCTGCAGCTGCACACAGCGCCCCGCTCGCGGTCGGCACGCGCGGAGCCGCCGGAGGCGGCCGCCGAGAGGCTCGCCCCGAACACGCCCGCGCCCGCCCACCGGAGGAACCCAAACAGAGAACGAAACTTTGGACGCCCGAAATGGGCACGCAAAGAATGGGTACGCTGCCCAACAACAAATGTTGCCCAAAACTAACAGCGGCCGCTGTTGGGCAGGCGGCCTTCTGTCTCGAATGGACACAGGCCGCGGCGGCGCGGACAGCGAGTCCTGTCCAAGATGAGCAGGAACTGCTGTTGGGCATTGTACCCATTCTTTCCGTACCCATTTCGGGCGTCCAGAAAAACGGGGGAACCCGAGGAACCCAAGCAGGGAACCAGACGGGAAAACCCGAGGCACCCGAGCAGCGAAATACATGGGTGGCCCGAAAGACCCAAGTTGAGAACAGGACAAGGGAGCCCGACGAACAAGACCTGGGAACCAGAGGAACCCGAGCGAGGAATAGAAGCTGGGGTGCCCTGCGCACGGCGCGCCTCCACCAAGACCGTCGGAGCCCCTTGCGGCCTCAGAGGCCCGGCTGGACGGCGCCAACCGTGTGCCAGACCAGTTCGATTTACGCTTCCGTGCGTGCCACGGTCAACGGCACGTATCGAGCTCTGGCGGCCCGGCAAGCACGGCCCAGCCCAGAGTGGCCTCCCAAGCGTTGTTAACCCTGTCATCCAGCCTCAGGGCCCCGTGAAAAGGGGACCTCGGTACGCTAGGATGTTGGCGCGCCCGAGGAAACTGCATCTGCGGGTCGAGGCATCATCCATTATTCGTTCCCTCCCGCTTGGTCTGGCAAAATCCTGGCTTCCAAAGCCGTGGTTTCTGGGACGAAGACCTCCAGTCAGTCCGACCATCCCAGTCGGATAGATTGGCCCAGTCAGATGTTCAACAATCGTGATAAAAAGCGCCCCGTCGTCAGGCCCACATGTCAGCGGCGTAGCCTCCAGAACATACCGATAAGACGATTCGGCTGATCTGGGTGCTGATCTCGGTGATCGATTTCGCGCTGGGCTGACAATATGGACCCTTTTCCAATTCGTTCAAGTCTTCCTGAGCATTCTTACTCTTCGAACTGCTCGAACCATTCTAAATCTTCGGCACCTGACCACGTACCCTACCTGCTCGCACGATACTGACTTGTCGAACCTAGATAGCTAATGTTAACTTTATCCGCCACCGTGCCCTCAGGCACGCGTTGGCGTGCCCACGGGTGGAGGATGAAAAAGAGGTGGGCGTGCTGGGCCGTAGCTCGTGGCCTTGCCCGTGGACAGGCATTTCCAGCACGGTTTCAAGAGGCCCTGGGGACCGTCCTCTGGAGCCCTCTCGGAATCCTCTTGGGCCGTCTTGGAGGCCCTGGAGCATCCCAAGAGGGCCACAAGACGGCTTCCGACGGCGTTAGACGGGCGAGGAGGCCACCAAGACGGCCCAAGATGGCTCCAAAATTGCCAAAGACAGCCCAAGAGGCACCCCAGAGGCCTCCCAGACGGCCCAAGAGGCCTCCAAGAGGGCCTCCAGGGAGCCCCGACGAGGCCAAAATCATTGATTTCCCGTAGGTTGCTTAATCTTGGCATTTGCTTCAAAACGGCTTTCCGACGGCCCGACACGGCCCAAGAGCCCCCAAAGATCGCCCCAAGATCGCCCGAGAGGCCTCCAAGATGGCCCCAGAACGGCCCAAGAGGGCCCCCAAGACAGCGCCAAGGAGCCCCAAGACTGCCCAAGAGGCCTCCAAGACGCCCAAGATGGCCTCCAAGACGGCCCTGTCGGCCCAGAGATTTTCCCAAGACGGCTTCCGACGGCGTCAGACGGGTGAGGAACGCCGCAAGACGGCCAAAGAAACCTCCGAGGAGCCCCCAAAGGCCCCCAAGAGGCTCAAGGAGGCCCCCAAGATGCCTCCAAGAGGCTCCCGGGAAGCTCCAACGAGGCCCCAAAAGTGTCCCTAGAGGCTCCCACGATGCCCCCTCCTCCTCCTCCTCCTCCTCCTCATCCTCCTCCTGATCTTTCCCGCCATCCTCACGAAGGGCTTCCACAACGGCTGTGGTAACACGTGGTCCGATAGCTTGGCAGAGCTCTTGCCACAACGCTCTGCTACATGGGCGATTCCAAAAGGCAGGGGGCGGCGGTGATTCGCCGTAGGCGTCTTCGATCCGCTGCCTCATGTGGTCTTGCCACAGGGGTGCTGGGCGTGCTGAACCCTACGCGTGTGGTCTTGGTTCTTTTTCCAGAAGAGCTCTCCTCTGGGGCTCCAGTCTGGTGCGCCGGCCAAGCGGAAAGCACCACAACCCACCTCAAGCCCACAAGTAATCCCCTTAGACGGCTCAATATGGCCTCCAAGATGCTTCCAAGGCGGCCAAGACAACCCGACGGCCACAGAAGAAGCCACCAAGACGGCCCAAATATTGCTCCAAGATGACTCCGAATCCGCCCAAGAAACCTCCAACATGGCCCAAGACGGCCCAACAGGCTCCCAAGACGCCCCCAAGACGTCCTCCAGGAGGGCCCGAAGATGCCAAAATTGATTTTCCTTGGGTTCGTGAAGGATTTGGTCATTTGCTTCTGCCCGACCTGACGGCTCAAGACGGCCCACAAAGCCCCCAAGATCGCCCAAGTATGGCCCCAAAGGCCTCCGATACGACCTCATGACAGCCCAAGAAGCCACCCCAAGACGGCCCCATGAGGCCTCCAAGTTTGCCCCACATGGTCCAAGATGGCCTCCGAGACGGTCGAAGAGGGTCCAAGATGGCCTCCAAGACGGCCCAAGAGGGACCAAGAAACTTCCAAGTCCGCCCACGAAGCCTCAAAGACGGCCCAAGACGGCTCCAAGATGGCCCGAGACGGCCCAGGAGGCCCCGAATTCCGCAATTTGTCTTAGGGTGTTTGAAAGATTTTGACATTTGCCTTCTTTTCGGCCTTCTGGCGGCCCGACACGGCCAAAGAGCCCCCAAAGATCGCCCCAAGATCGCCCAAGAGGCCTTCGAGATCGCCCCAGAACGGCGAAAGAGGCCTCCAAGACGGCCCCAGGGAGCCCCAAGACGACCCAAGAGGCCCAAGATGGGCGCCACGACGGCCCCGGAGCTCCCCAAGGGGGCCCCAAGACGGACCAGGAAGGCTTCGAAGATGGCTTCCGACGGCGTCAGGCGGGCCAGGAGGCTACCAAGACGGCCCAAGATGGCTCCAAGATGGCCCACGACGGCCTACGAGGCCCCAAGAGGTCCCCAAGACGGCCCAAGAGGCCTCTAAGAGGGCCTCCAGGAAGGCCCGAAGAGGCCCAAAGCAGTGGTTTCTTTGTGTTTGAAAGACTTTGGCATTTGCTTCTTTTCGAGCTTCCGACGGTCCGAGACGGCCAAAGAGCCCCCAAAGATCGCCCCAAGATCACCCAAGAAGTCTCCAAGATGGCCCAGGACGGCCGAAGAGGCCCCCACCCAGGAGGGCCCCAAGATGGCCCCCACCCAGGAGGGACCCAAGACGGCCCAAGAGGCCTACGCCCAATATGGCCTACAAGACGGCCCTGGAGCATCCCAAAAGGGCCCCCAATCGGCCCAAAGAAGCCCCCAGAACGGACTCCGACAACATCAGACGGAATGCCATAATACGGCCAAGAAGGCCCCCGAGAAGCCCCCAAAGGCCCCCGAGAGGTCCAAGGAAACCTCCAAGATGCCTCGAAGAAGCTCGCAGAAAGAAGCCCCAAGAGTGCCACCAGAGGCTCCGAAGATGCCCCCTCCTCCTCCTCCTCCTCCTCCACCACCTCCACCTCCACCTCCTCCTCCTCCTCCTCCTCCTCCTCCTCCTCTTCCAATCCTTTTCTCTTCCTTGTAAATAACTCCTCCCTGTCGCACCCCGAGGCTGGTCGAAGGGCGGGCTGGGCGTTTCGCCTGAGATGTTCTCACCATTTATGGCCCTGAAGCTTGAAAAATGACAACAGTTTCACACAGTGAGGGCGGGTGGTCTTCACAATATGGCTCTCGCCTTAGCGCCTAACACATTTGTTTGACCAGATTGCAAGCAAGAGTTTCGCGAAGTAAGGGCGGGCGGTTTTTGCAATGCGGCTCTCGCCTTAGCGCCGCGCACATTCGTCTCGAACAGGTGCAAGAGTTTCACGGCTTGGGGGCCGCTCATTTCCAATGTGACTCTCGCATTAGGGCCGCGCATATTCGTTTTACAAAATTGCAAGTGTTTCGCGGATGCCCATGGTCACCGTACCAGAAATGGTTCGTGCGTTCGAAGGATTCCGGATTGTGGGGTGCAACCGTTACGTTGATTCACGGTGTTGAAATCCCAAGAAAGGCGTTCTGGTACGATTCAGGATCGTGCAGACGCAACAGTCAGGTTGATCCGTGGAGTCGGAGTCCCGAGAATGGTGTTTGGCATGCTGCAGGGTCTTCAAAAGGTGGTCTCCCAGTGGAAATGAACCCTTGTATGGGGCCCTTTGACAAGGGAGCTTGGAGGGAAGGTTTACTCCAACATCGTTGATGAGTCTTGGGTTTACACTGGTCCTCCTCCTCCTCCTCCTCCTGATCTTCCCCGCCATCCTCCTCCAGATGTTCCCCGAAGGGCTTCAACAACGGCTGTGGTAACACATGGTCCGATAGCTCGGCAGAGCTCTTGCCACAGCGCTCGGCAACATGGGCGATTCCACAAGGCAGAGGGCGGCGGTGATTCGCCGCAGGCGTCTTCGAGGGAGAGAGGGAGGGAGAGGGAGTGAGGGAGGGGAGGAGGAGGAGGAGGAGGAGGAGGAGGAGGAGGAGGAGGAGGAGGAGGAGGAGGAGGAGGGTTGCCACACGAGTGCACGGCGTGCTGGATATCTAGTGGTTTCCAGTTCTCTTCTGAAAAGCTCCCAATGTGAGCTCGGTCGGTCCCGCCAGCCGCCCGAAGGGCCCCCCAAAAATCCGCAACTCATTCGTCGAATCGCCCCCAAGACGGCCAAGGTGGCCTCCAAGATGCATCCAATACTGCCAATACGCCCCAACAGAGCCCAAGAGAGCCCCAAGACGGCATCAAAGACAGTCCCAAGAGGCCTCCAAGACCGCCAAGATGGTCCAAGAGAGCCCAAGATGGCCCAGGAAGCGACCAAGAGGCGTCGAGGACGGCCCAAGAGGCCTCCCAGAGGTCCTCCGGGAAAGACCGCAGCAGCCAACACAAATGATGGCACCAAGACGACCAAAAAGACCTCCAAGAAGCCCCGGAAGGCTCCCAAGAGGCCCAAGGAGGCCCCCGAGAGGCCTCTAAGAGGCCCCCCGAAAGCTCCAAGGAGGCTCCAAGAATGACCCAAGAAGTTACCAAGAGGTCTCCTCATCCTTCTCCGCATCCTCCATTTTCCTCCCTGTCCTCATCCTCCTCTTCCTCCCCCACGTGTTCCCCGAAGGGCTACCACAACGGCTGGGGGAACGCATGGTCCAATAGCGTGGCCAAGCTGTGCACCAACGTTTTGCGAGATAGGCGTACCCTAAACAGCAAATGGCGGCGGGGATTCGCCGTATGTGTCTTCGATAATAGTATCAAGCCCGCTTTGCATATGTTCCAAAAATGATCGCTCCAAATCTCTATATCGTTCACACCGCTGTACCCTCAATATGGGAATTCTGAAATCCAATCTAACGGCTCTCAAACCATCCCGCATACTCTTTCCCTGCCGCTGCCTGGGGCGCCGATCAGTTCGGAGTTCACAAGGCATTAGGGCCCCAAGAGTTCTCTGGATGCCTCCTTGGATCCCATGAACGCCTCTGGAGGCCTGAGGAGAGTTTCGATGACCTTCAGAGGCCCAGAAGACAACCGAAAACGCCAAGAGCAACTCGTTCGTCGAACCGCAATGCTTGGCGTCTGGCCCCGTCCTGGGGTGCGCCCTGGCGAGAGTGTCGAGGCGGATGCAGCCAAGCCCCGGAAACCCAAGGAGGCTCAAGATATGTGGAACACCTCAGTCCTCGAGCCTCGACAGGCACGGGGCGGGGCTCACGCGATGCTGAAGCAGCTGGCCCCCCGCGTGGTCAGCGTCAGGATCTCATGCTGCGTCCACGACGCGAACCTGACGCCAGGTCTCTCCAGGACACGAGAAGCAGGCAAGGATGACCCAAGGCGCTTTCTCCTGCTCCTCCTCCTCCTCTTCCTCCTCCTCCTCCCATCACCACCACCACCACCATCATCACCACCACCACCATCACCATCACAATCGCCATCGTCAGCGTCATCGACACCACAATCGTCATGAACATCAACATTAATCTGATCATCACCACCATTGTCCTATGCACCGTGAGCACCATCATCGTGATCACCATTGTCATCATCACCATCATCATAGTCGCTCGCATCGCCATCACCATCATAACCGTCACAATATCGTCATTATCATCACCACCACCACAATCATCATCATCATCATCATCATCATCATCATCACCATCATCAGCAGCAGTAACAGCATCATCATTCTCAGCGTCATCATCATCAGCAGCATCATCACCATCAGCATCGTCAGCATCATCAGTATCACCATTGTCACCATCATCATCATCATCATCACCATCATCAAAATCATTACCATCGCCATCATCATCATCATCATCATCATCATCATCAGCATCATCAGCAGCATCAGCATCAGCATCAGCATCAGCATCAGCATCAGCATCAGCATCATCATCATCGTCATCATCATCATCATCATCACTACCACCATCATCATCACCGACCCTCATCTCTCACCCCAACCCCTCCCTCCTTTCCTCCCCCATTCCTCCACCTTCCTCTTCCATCCTCCCTCCCCCGCTCCCCTCCAGCTTCCCTCCCCCCTTTCCCCCCCCCCCCCCCCCCTTCTGGCCGTGAGCCTCCGTCCCCTCGGCTTGGATGGGGGGAGGGAATTGAGCAAGGACCGACCGTCACTGCATACTTTTTGGCATACAACCACGAACACAAGAGCGCTATAATGATAGATCACACAGCAAAGCATGGACGCGCTGAAACAACACTATGCAGCAAGCCTCGTAGCACTGTGCACAGGCAACCAAGAGAACACTAGCGTGCCCTGGGTGGTGCTATGGAGAGACCAAGTGAAACTTCGTCACTGCGAGAGGGAGAGGGGGAGCAAGAACGATACAGTCAAAAACCCTAATAAGGACGCGCGGCAAGGACGCAAGACCATTGGAAGCCGAAGTTGGGATTTTGGGGCGGCGGACGACGAAAACCCCAAGGACGCAAGAGCAAGGAAGAGCAAGGACGCAAGGGTACCCTGAACAAAGTCGCGCGTCCTTATTAGGGTTTTTGACTGTATGGAGGATCAGCTCAGGGGAGGAGACATCGCCCTGGAATCAGCGATGCGTCGCCGATCCATCGGCGACAGGCCCCCGAGAGCGAAACCGGCACGGCCCATGGGCAGGGCGGGGGGCCCGGGCACCGATCGGCGAGGCACGGGCGATGGAGGGTCGAATCGTGGTGTGTGTGGAGGAGGAGGAGGAGGAGGAGGAGGAGGAGGAGGGTGTTCGTTGTCATGCCAGTTTCGGTTTCCCTCGTTCGGTCTTCGTTCCGCCTTTTTTCATTCTCCCTCGCCCTGCCTTCGGTCCGACTTTTTCTGCGAAGCGAACTACGGTCCACGAGATAGCCAGACCACCATGGAGCTCGAACCCTGATTCGCTCATGGGCGCGCCCATGATCCGAGGGCTTCGGACCACACCTCGAGCATCTGGCGGCCGTTGGGGACGAGTCTGGCACTCCTGGCCCGCTCTCGGAGAGGCGCAGCTGCTGGGAAGCATCCCGAGGCGAGAGAACCTCCAAGAACTAGTATCAAGCATCCCTGAATCCGCCGATCCTTCGACGTGCGCAGGACGCGGTTCCGTTTGAGTCATCGCTGGCGTTGTTATTGTTTTTGGTGTTGTTGTTGCTGTTGTTGTGTTTGGTCTTGGTGTTGGTGTTGATGTTGGTGTTGTTGTTGTTGTTGATGGTGGTGGTGTTGTGTTGTTGTTGCTTCTGCTGTTGTTGATGATGAATACTAATTCTGGAGAGCAATTGAAATATTGTTGCTCTCTGGAAACGGTACCGCGCGCTCTTGCCTCGACGCCGCCGGCAATTCCTCTGAAAACTAGGCTCCCGATCGAGCGCGGGCTTGATTGTAACTGCGTGCCCTTGGAGGCCCGGCTACAACGACAACGGTTCCCGCTCGATACCTCCTCACAATTTACCCCGAGAGACCCTGGCCAGAGAGGTCCCCGAACTCGGGAACGGCGCTCTCACTCGAGACTTCCTCGCAATTCAATCAAATCGGCGGAGGCCCAGCCACGACGACAAGGGCTCCTGCTCGATACTTCCTCACGACTTACTGGAAGAACCCCAGGCCAGGAAAGCCCCCGAACTCAGGAACACGGCGCTCTCGCTCAAGACTTTCTCGCGACTCAATGACATTGGTGGAGGACCAACTACAACGACAAGGGCTCTCATTTGAAACTTTTTCAAAATGTATTCCCAGAGGCCCTGGCCAGAGAGGCCCCCGAACTCAAGAGCGGCGCTCTCGCTCGAGACTTTCTCGTAATCCAAGCAAGTTGGTGGAGGCCCTGACACGGCGACAAGGGCTCCCGTTGGATTGTTTCCCAATATGTCAATATGTACTCCGACAGCCCCTGGCCAGAGAGACCCCCGAATTTAGGAACGGCGTTCTGTCACTCTCAAAAGTTTCTCGCACGTCAGTCAGTGGCCGACAAGGAAAAGATTTCCCCCGAGAGGGGGTGCAACCGAAAACGAAGTGGGCGGGTATCGAAGGCTGGGGTATACTGAGTGCAAGACACGCGTGCTAGTGAGAGAGAACAATATTAAACTGGTCGTTCCCCACATCCGGAATGAGGTTCTTGATTTCTCTGGACACCCTGCGCAGGAACAGGATGGAAGGAAAAACAACCCCTCTCTTTTCACTCACACACTCACACATTCACATCATCATCGGAGCATCTACACAACATCACTTACACACTCATTCGCAATCACCCGACTTACTCTCATTCATTCTCTCGACCCCCGCGCATTCCTGTCGCATTCACAGCAGCATGATCATCACTCGCATGTGTGTCGTCTCGGGCGGGAGCCTCGTCTTTGAGTGAATCGCGAGGAAGTCTCAGGCGGGAAACCCTTCTCGATGGGGCACGCTGCTCATATTTCTCATCCAAAACAGGTCATCGGCATCCTGTAACTGTCGTCGCCTCCTTGTGAAGCCTGCATATGGAAGAATTACCCGGCGGGAGCCTCGTTTGTGAGCGAATCGCGAATCAGTATTACGCGGGAGCCCTTTTTTTTTCAGATGGGCCCCGCAACTGCTTTGCTTAATCCGAAGCGGGTCATCGGCCTCGTGTAACGGTCGTCACTTTTGAGCTCCTGAAGCGCGAATGCGGAAAAAACAGACGGGAACCTCGTTCGTGAGCTAATTGCGAAGGTTTTTGTTGGCGGGGGCCCCCTCCCTATATGGCCCGCAACTCATTTGTTTAATCCGAAGCGGGTCATCGGCCTCCTGAAATTGTCGTCGCGTGTTAACTAACCCTTCTGGCCTGAATATGGAGGAAGTAACAGGCGGGAGCCTCGTATGTTAGCGAATTGCGAAGAAATCTCAGGCGGGAGCCCGCTCTGGAGCCCGCTGCTCATGTTTTTTTTTGGGTTTATCATTTATCCGAACGGGTCGTCGCCTTCCTGCACCTGTCGTCACAATTGGGTTCCTGAGGCCTGCAGATGGAGGAAATATCCGGCGGGATCATAGTCTGTGCATGAAATGAGAAGACGTCCCAGGCCGGACACGTCATGTTTGAATCCGAGGCGGGTCATCGGTCTCCTGTAACTGTCGTCACTTTTGGGCCCCTGAGGCCTGCAATTGGGGGAAGCATCAGGCGGGAACTTCGTCTGTGAGTGAATTGCGAGGTTCAGGCGGGAGCCCCTTCCAGATGGGGGCCGCATATGATGTTTGAATCCGAAGCGGGTCATCGGCCTCCTGACACTGTCGTAACGCTTAGGCTCCTGAGGACTGAACGTGGAGAACATATACGGCGGGCGTGTCGTCCTCAAGCGCGCGTTTCCTCTGGGTCGTCCTCTGGCGCGTAGCCGCTGGGACGCACGTCGCGCATTTCCTCGAAGTCGTGTTCCGCACGAGGAAGAAAGAGGATGACGAGGAGGAGGAGAAGGAGGAGGAGGAGGATGCAGGACGAGAAAGAAAAGGAGGAAGAGGAAGAGGCAAAAGGGGAAACATAACGATGAGGAGGAGAAGCAGGAGGAGGAGGAATGCCCTAGAAGACCCCAGGATGTCCCGGGAGGCCCAAAAGGCTCCAGGAGGGCCCAAGAAGCTCCAGTAGGCCCCAAGAGGAGGTCGGTGGCCAAAGGGGGAGGCATGAGGAGGAGGAGGAGGAGGAGGCGGAGGAGGAGGAGGAGGGGGAGGAGGAGGGGGGAAAATGACGAGGAGGAGGCGGATGAGGGAGAGGAGAGGGAGAGGAGGAGGGAGAGGGGAGGTGGAGGAGGAGGAGGAGGAGGAGGAGGAGGAGGAGAAGGAGGAGGAGGAGGAGGAGGAGGAGGAGGAAGAGGGAGAGGGAAAAGGAGGAGGAGGCAGGGAGGCCCAAGGGACGGCCAGCGGCTAGGTGGCGACACGGGCGAAGGAGCTCCGACAGGACACGAGGACGCGGCAGAGGAGAATAGAGGAGGCCAGGAGGGGGCGGCCAGGAGCAGAAAGATGAGGATAATGAGGAGGAGGAGGAAGAGGAGGAGGAGGAGGCCGAAAAGCGGCACAGAGCAAAAGGATGACGATGAAAACGAAACTGAGGACGAGGGGGTGGATGAGGAGGCTGAGGAAGAGGAAGGGGAGGAGGAGGAGGAGGAGGAGGAGGAGGAGGAGGAGGAGGAGGAGGAGGAGGAGGAGGAGGAGGAGGAGGGGAGGGAGGGAGGAGGAGGAGGAGGATGAGAGAGGAGGAGGAGGAGGAGGAGGAGGGAGGGAGGAGGAGGAGGAGGAGGAGGAGGAGGAGGAGAGGAGGGGAGGAGGAGGGATGGAGGAGGATGGAGGGGAGGGGAGGG